CTCTCTCTCTCTCTCTCTCTCTCTCTCTCTCTCTCTCTCTCTCTCTCTCTCTCTCTCTCTCTCTCTCTCGCCTCTCGTAATCGGCTGCAGGTGGGCTGAGGCTTCTTCCTTTCAAAGGAAAAGAACCTGAAGTTATCTGTAAAAGCTGAAGAAAGGTTAGCAGAAACACCCCCGCCTTAGCACAGTTATGAACACGTCACGGGGAACTCCGGTTTCTCTGACAGCGTCACTGCAGCTTTGCGCTCAGCACCCATCACACGCTGGGACCACTGAAGATGCAGCTGCACAGTCTGTAACGACGTCCACAGTGTGCCTCTCCCAGTCCCCGCAGGACAGGAGGGTCCTCAGGGCCCGGGCGAGGACTCGCTGCATCACGGCTGTGTCCATGAAGGTCGCCACGGTGGAGAACCCCGCCGGCAGCTCGTCCCACTCATCGAACTTGACGCCGCTGCCCAGGGAGTAGGAGCCCTCGGCGCACTTGCTGCACACCTGGTTCCGCATCTCCAGGTACTCTCCGGAGGCACAGGAGAAGGCTGCAAGGCAGAGGAAGCACACCTGTGAGGCCACGGCTGGGCTCTGTCCCACCTCTCGTAAGACGTCCCCAGCCTCCCGACCCCAGTAGCTCTGGTCTGCCCGGACCTGTTTCATTCAGCTCCCTCTTCTCACCATGACAAAAATGCACACCGTCCTCAAATGCCTCGCCTTCCCTGCCTGTGGTCTTCTTTCCCAGGGGTGTTGGCCAGCGACCCTCTCCACCTGGGAGTGCTTTCCTGACTCAGCAGGCCCCAGCCCACAGGCGGGCAGCACAGACAGCCCTCGGGGGCACACTTGGCAGGGGAGCTGTGTGGCTTTCGGCTTCAGAAAGGTCATTTGGGGGCCTCCCTGGTTGCCTTGGACAATCCTGGGTCCGAATAAAATGCAGTCAGGTGCGTGAGAACTAAGCACAGAGGCGGTGCAGGAGGGCAGTGTAACAGCTACTTAAGCTGCCTCCATCTGAAACCAGAGCCCATGCTTTTAAGGCTCACAACGACAGCCTCATGCACTCCAGGCCAAGATCCCTGATCGCTCCGTGAGCTCCACCCAGAGACAGCACCCAGGCAATGTGAAGCAAAGTCCAAAGTTACTTCTGCCGGCTGCTTAACTAACACCCGGAGGACACGGCTCTGCTCAGAGTGGCACAGGGACTCAGCCCCAGACCACAGCTTTCTAATCCTCTGCTCAGGACAGTAAAGAAAGGAGGACAAAGCGAACTGTCCCAGTTCTCCGATGGAGAGAAACAACCCGCCCAGCAGAGAGGACGGCAGCAACACCCATCGGGCAGGCTCCTCTCTCAGACTACAAGGGAAATAGAAACGAGCTGATCCTGAACAACTCCTTAAAGAATCAGCTAAAACACACAATGGCCCAGTTCCTTATGTCCTGAACTAACAGAATGCTTTCCTTCAGGAAAACTTAACAATGCTGTGTGATGGACTTTCAATATTCAAATCAATATCCCCAAACCAGTAAAACATCACAAAAGAGGTTAGGCGACTACTGCGCTGGCTACAAGGGCAAAACTTGCCGGGAATGGAGAGGAGAAGCTATCCTGGGCCAAGTTGTACCACTTCCTGACTGCGGCCCAAGTGAGTTCTTTGCCTCCCCAAGCCTTGGTTTCTGTCCCTAAAAAAATGACATAACTTTCATGATAGCTCCCTCAGTGGGGTACACTGACAAAATATACATAAAGTGGTTGGCACAGTACTTAGCATCTACTGCTTTCTGTGTGCTTTTATTAGAACTACCAGGACAAAACAACAAAGGAGTACTGTCATGGGGAAAACTTTCATTGTTTCAGTGGCTTATGAGTCTAGCAAACTCAACTAGATAATATTTCTCTAATATGATAAGTACTATCATAAATTAAAGCCAGCCTTACATTAAATCAAGGATCACCAAACTCCAGACTGCAGGACAAATATAGTGCTTGGCCTGCTTTTATGAATAAAGTTTTATTGAAACAGCCACAATCATTCCTTTATATATTGCCTATGGCTCCTTTTATACCATAATGTCAGAGATGAAAGGGTACAAAAGAGAAGGTTCACCATAGGGCTGAGAATGTTACTGACTGATAAAGTTAATTTGGAAGACAGTTTCATCTGGAGCCCAAAATGGAACATATTGATAATTTAATTTATAATTAATGTAACAATTTATAATCAATAATTTAAGGAGAACGTTTCATGACATGTTGCCATAAGGGACTATAAAAACAAGAAAGGAGAAAACTATGAATCTTGTCTTTTACTTTTTTGGTACTAGGGATCTAAATCAAGTCCTTGTACTTACCAGGCAGGTGGGAGTACCACAGCACTAAATCCCTAGCCCCGAATCTTATCTTTTAAACACAGTGACATCATTTGAGGGTGTTCGCTACCCTGCTAAAATCATGAGCACCCTCAACTCCTGTCGCAGTACAGTAGACAAGGGACCGTGAACGTACTGTCTACTCACAGTGCTGCCCTTGGCATTCCGTGGACACGGAGTACTGCTGCCCAC